CCACACAAATTTGTAGTAAAGCAGCAAGACAAATGAAGGAAAATGTAAATAACAGATGTAATGAAATTTGAGGAAATAACTAGATCCATAAAGTAAACCAGTACCATATCCTGGAAGATAAATCGATCTTCATTTCCTTTCACCATTTTATCATGAGAGTGATAATAATAATCACCTATTATGAGTAACACAAATATATTATGCGAGGTTACTCACGCTACCGATAACCTAAGCATAGCGACTACTCGACCTATGCTAGTAGGACTCATAGGTAGGTTATCTATGCATGTAGTTTTCATAAAATGCCTGTAACGTAAATGCACATCACATATATATATCCAGTGATTATTCAAAATAAGGGTTATATGCAAAGGCTTGCCTTGGGCGGTAGCGTTGTCGAATCGATCGATTAAAATGACATGGCGGCTCAGGGACCTCCTCCCAACACTACAAATGAGGATCTCCTCCTCGTACTCTTCAATCACCTCATACTCACCCTGCTGGCACGCTTGCAGTGGTCACGAACTCCACCAACTCGTTCTCTACATGCATGCAATGACGATGCAACACTCAATATTAAGGCAACAACAGTTCTTAAAATAAGAATACATCTACTAAGCCACTAAGCTAACTCTAATGACTAAGATACCAATCATCATTCCCATCAAACCAGCAGGGCTACTTAGCAACTCAAATATATTCTTACTCTTATTAACAATTTCCTATATACAACAACAAGAGTACTTAGCTACCATATTTCTCAATCTATTCTAGGGCTACAAAAATTACAGTGAGCACATAATAATACAATGAATCTACTGAAAAAATTTCATGGTCAAAGCTATTACCAATTTGCCCCAAAAATTCCTACAAATATTAATCTAAACAATACTAAACACTCGCAAATGATTTAATAGCCGCTGGTATCAACAAATATATATATGAACTAAATACACTAACAGATAGAGCACAATTTTAGGAACTTAATAAAATTGGTTTCACAATTTTTGGACTTCTACCGAATTTGCTATAATTTTCCAAAGATCAACTCAAAACTAATTTAGAAAAACATTTGCTAATTTGTTGGAAAAAGGAAAACCACTTCTCAAAGCATGTGACCCATCCACGTGAGCCCACGCCTGCGTCTGCGTAACGTGTGCATGAGCACAACCCACGCAAGGGAGGCCACAAACGGTTTCAAATAGCGGCCTTTGTTACGTTGTTTTGGTCAAGCCCTCAAATTTTGGATTTTTAAATTTTGAATGCTCAAACCAGCTTTTCAAACCCTAGATGGTACTCTTGCAAAAACACCCTTGAGCTACCTACAAATCAATCCACACTCCACATGACTATTCCTAGAGAGAGACACTTTGCAACAAGGCCCTTTCACTCTTCCCTCTTTGCATCGGCCAGGTCCACGGTCACCCCAAGAGCATCGGGTCTCAGAAAAGTCATGAATACGTACATGATCTGCAATTGCCCGGTGGAATTAGCGCCCATAAACCGCACTAACACTTTCTCAAATGAAAAATGACCTATATAACAATTGAGACCTTCCTTGCCCAAAACAAATTGTTTCAAATAGAAAAGCATGACACCACCTAGGGGGGTTGACGTGAGTCGTCGAGCGGAGGTAGAATGGGTAGGGATGCGTCTAGGTGCTCCCTCCGCGGCGGCGGACACCCTGCGGCAGCGGTAGCCGCGTTTCGGTGAGCCTCGGCACAACAGAGGTGATAGAAATAATGGGTGAGCATCAGCAACTCACCCCGTAGCTACCCGTGGTGGTGGCTTGGCCGGGGATAGACCGGGCGTGTCTGGCCACGTGTGCACAGCAAGCCTGATGACGGAATGCGGTGGCGCGGCTGCGTTAGCGCCGTGAGGGTGGCAGTAAAGGTGAGGCTTAGATGCGCATGGTGAGAAGGAGGGTCGTGCGAGTGCAATGGTGCAAGCAATTGGGCTTAGGGCGGGGAATTGAAGTCTACCCTTGGTCATGGTACCGCGCGCTTAACATTTATGGCTCGTCGGTGGGAGACGCCAAAATTGGCGCTTAATTTGGGCCACCCACCGTTAAGGATGTGTGGGTCGCTCACCGATGGCGTGAAGAGAAGACGAAGAAGCGGCTCGTAGGCGTTGATTGATGAGGTGACCGCCTTTACTCACACTCTGGGCGTGACCGATGGCGAGAACATAGGAAGAGGAGAGATAGATCACGATAGGGCCTTTTCTTTCGGTTGGCCTTGGTAGCAAGCGGCCGGTAAATCTAAATAAACATCGTCTGCGCCTCTGACCGAACTACACAACACATGTCCGAAAACCAGTCTTGGCGGGTAGTAGGGAGGGCGGGTGGAAGATAATCTGCTGCTGGCAAAAACACCCTTGAGCCCATTAAGAGAGAGAGACACTTTGCAACAAGACGGCCAGCGGTCACCCTAAGAGCATCGGGCAAATTGGTGGCACCGCACGCACACGGTGTGGCAAGCAGGTAGAATGGGTAGGGATGCGTCTAGGTGCAACAACACACGAACGCTGCCTCGCCGAGTGGCGACAACGAAAACCATGTAGCCGTGCGGAGCGCAGCAGCAGCGAAGTGATGGCCGACAATGGGGCGATGGTGAGAAGCGTGCTGCCAAGCACGAAGGGAATTGACGATGGCATGCGGCACGATGGCAAGAAGCGCTTGACAAAGCGAACGCAACAGGCATAGCGGCGGCGTGTGCGACCAAGCGCCTGCGGCTGGCAGCGCGCGCCCGGCAAAGTCAGCGCGCCAAAGTAGCGTGACCACCACGCACACTCGGCTAATCGGCCCAAAACGCGTTGTGCACGCTTTTTAAAGCGTCAACCACGACCCATCTAGCTCGGTTATGACCCAACCAACTCAGCCGAGCTGAAGATGGTACCTAGGGCTACTGAATGGAGCAACATACTTGGACCAAGGTAGACTAGAAAAGAAAATATGAGCCTACCAAGTGGATGCTTGCAACCGGCGCCCAAACAACATTTTCTAGCTTTTGTAGCAATTAATTGATGATCAAAGCACATACAAACTAAATCAACCCCTATACCATTGACAAGTACTTACTTGGATGCAACCCACCAAGCAAAAATATAGCATAAGCCTTTAGCTAAATTTTTTAGAATTAATTTACTAATATAGCATTGTCACACCGCTTTCAACTTTGAAAATTTGCTAAGTCTTGGGCTGAATTTTTGTTCAAGTTCCATTTCTAAACTATTAGAAATACTATCTAACAATAATATTTTTCAACAAGTATTTCATTGCCACCTACAAAGTTTGTACTTTCAACTTTCTTTAAGTGTCACATACATGTTTCATAGCATTTTTGCTTAATAAAAATTGGTTTTCAACCTTAAGTGACATAACATGACTATTGAATTAACTTTCGTTTCGCATTCTAGTTGATCGTTTCGAGTTACAGAAATTGATCTACACACTTTATTACATGCATTAACACATATACATGATGCTCATGACATGTTTTAGTAAATGATTTATAGTGTCGCGCCGCCCCGGACGTCGCCCATGCCACCCCAAACGTGCGTCGCCAGCCTCTTCCCACGTGCAACATCCGATCTACATTTGAAACATCCATATGCAATAGTTGGAATATACAAAAGAAGACATATGAAACACTTGAAATAAGCATCAGAAACACTTGCGGAAAACTTCTGAAAACACTTAAAAACCATTGCTAACATATGCAACATCTAGAAGAAACGCTTGCAACATACATATAAAACACCTGAAACACTTGAAATATATGCTTGCAACATGTATGTATATGCAACATCCATATTTACTTTTGCAACATCCAAATAAAACATTTGCAACATACGTCTAGAAGAGAAAAAATTTGGAACATACACTTGAAACATACATGTATACCCATTACAAACATGTGCAACATCCCGATCTACTTTTGTAACATCGATATACAACACTTGCAACAAACCTCTGAAACACTTGAAACATACTCTTGCAATATGCGCTTTCAGCGTAGCATCTAATTGTTGTTTGGACGAATGGAGGTCTCTTCAATACGGAGCTCGATGCCATGGTGTGGGGTGCGCGCGGGGAGGGGGGGGGATGCTAGTGGGCAGGCGGGCGGTTGTGCGGCCACCGATGAGCCGCTACCCAGCTCCGGACGACAGGGCGGGCTGGTGCCCCCTGTGGTGGAGGTGACAGCGCTGCCCGCGGCGAGTGTCCCCCGCGCTAGAAAGGTGAGCGGTGGGCGGGTGGCGCGGTGGAGTCAGCTGCGGAAGACGCATGCGTACGGTGAAAGAAGGCCTCAATGGGGAGGAACGGGGAATCAACATTTTTTATTGAGAAGCCCGGAGCAAGCTCCGCAGGCCCACGAAAGACGCATCCTGAGCGTGAGACGCTTTTATGAGGAGTGTTTTATAGTCAATATTGCTTCCTTTTTTTCCTCGCCCCATAAATTGGATACTTGTTCAAACTTCAAACCATACTGGCACTCTGTACTGTGTTCTATAATGTCTAATAACTTACATGATAAGAATTTCTCGTGCTTGTATGATGATAACTTGTGAATAAAAAAAATACTCACACCAGCAACAGGGATGCACCATTTCATTCGAGATTCTGGATGGAATCAACGGGCTGTTCAAATGCCTATGCTACTTTAGTAAATTCTGAACCTAAAATAACTTAATCATATCTCTGCCAATGTCCTCCTCAAGTTGTAGTTATTGTACAAAAATAAAAAAATACTAATACAATGCAAAATGCGATTACCAGATCTTTAATGCAGTTGGCGGTGACATCTTGGAGGAAACGCTCTCATGACGGCAACCGCTCCCGCTCCCATCTCCCGCTCTCGTTTGAACCGTCGGCACCATGGCCGGTTGTCTGCGTGCATCTCCCCATGACGTACGTACGGGTGTATAAATATACATCACAGATCAATGAAAGAATTTACTGGTTCACTTGCCATTACTGTGTTCCATTTACATTCCAAGCTTCACAAGTTATCAGCACTTGACGCTCGCAATCTGTGCTCTCGAGAGGGAGTCCAGAAGAAGGCCGGCGAGATCCAGAACAGAGAAGATCCAACGGTACCATGCCTCCACTGCGCTACGTACCTCCGGCGATTCTCGTCGTCGATCTCGTCTTCTTGATTCTCCACCGCGCCATCGACATGGGGATTCCGTTCGACCACCACTACATCCGCGCGAACTCCTGGACACCTTCCGCTACCTTTTCGGTGAACGCCAAGCCAGTGAACGCCGGGGAAGGGGAAGGGGTCGCGGACTTCGGATGCGAGTTGGCGGTCGTGGTGGTCGTCGTCGCGCCGTCGATGCTCCAGTGGCCCCTGCGCCACCACCGGGACCCGTCTGCCCCGAGCACGCACCGGGACCATGTCCGCCATGGTTGCCGCCGTACTGCGTCGAGCACGGCCACGGCCCCGGCCCCTGCCCGCTTCGAGCACCTCCTGCCCCGCTAGCCCCGGATGCCGCCGGTCCTTCTAATTGGGCCGGCCCCGTGGCGATGGACGTTGTTGAGCCAGCGCCTCCACGGCCGACTCCGTCCCTCACCGTGCCGGGCTTGAGGAGGAGACGGAGCAGCTCTCCACCGACGATAGCGGCACGCTGCTCCGCCCCGACGCGCCTACCCCCGCAAGCGCGTGGCGAAGCCTCGAGCAGCCGCGCCGTCGACGTCCCGGAGCTTGCCGCCCCGCCTCCTCCGCCTCAGCCGGCTGCAGTGCTCCGACGTCGAGTTCACGCCGGTGACGCCGCCAACCATCGTCCCGGCCTCTGTCCGACTTGGCTCCGAGTTCCGCACGGGGCCTCCGCTCGATCCCTCCCGAACAGCCACGCCGGGCCCAGCAACGAGCGCGGCGGCGCGGGATCCTCCTCCTCAGACGAGGGTGGGGGCCACGCCCCCTCGCCGGCTTGAGCGCGCCATGGGGAAGGGGCCTCGCCCAAGCCCCTGACTCTACCGGAAACGGCGCGAATCGGCGACTACGGCAGCCTCCTCCATGGTGACCAGGGTGGCGGACCACCGGATCTGCATTCCCTAGCGCCGGATCTAGGCTGGGACAGAGGAGATCGGCACCTGCGCATGCTGTACAGGCGACGGCGGCGGAGTTTTCTACAGGGAGCGGCGACGTTGGATGCGAGCGTGTGGTGCGAGTAGCAATGCCTGCTTGCTTATCTGTTTGTACAGCAGTCCACCGCTTGCTTTCTAGTTGGAGACACCAGCAGGCCGGCTTGCATGCTGCCTTTGCTGGCACGCTCGTTCAGCACACATGCTGGATGAGCCTGCATCTGCTATCCGATGTTTCTTTGTTTTTAATTTTTAGTCAATGTTTACTACTGTATTTAGCTTATTCACTATAGTGTTAATTGCTAATTTCGTAGTACTTTTCATCAGTGTGCTAGTCTAAATTGTTTTACTATTTTAGACCCCTGATGTAACCATGTATTGTACATATGTATTTCCATCTAATGCAATGTTTTATACATCTCTGTTCATGTTTAAAGTGTTTGCCCCATGCAATTCTCAATAACATGAACATTTTGTGTTGAGAATATTGTTCAAAGCGTTGCTTCCGGCATTCCTAATAACAATATATTCCACAAAATTTATTGCAATTTACTTTATGCAATTTACATATTAAGTTTTCTAGCTTTCCATACAAGTACTTAATATTTCATGCAAATGCTTAAAGGTTGATTTTCTCTCATTTTTGGAATAACACTAAGTTTCTGAACTTTGGTATTGGCCATACACAAGGTAGTACCCTAGTACTACTGCAAGATTTATTCCTCAACTTGCGTACCCAATATTAAGTTTTGAAACAATTTGGTCTACACTTTTGGGTGACTACCTTTATTTATTTTCAAATTGGCCACACACAAGGTGTCGGGTATCGATATTAGGGATACCCAAAGCAAGGAAGTTAGCGCTCACGCTGACTTTCCCGGATGGCTAGAGACGTATTAAAAGGTCTTGCCCGACCTCAAGGCCGCGAGCTCCGTCTCGCCCGACCTCAAGGCCGCGGGCTCCGTCTCGCCCGACCCCTTGGGTGTGGGCTCCGTCTCGTCCGACTCCAAGGATGCGGGTTCTGTCTCGTCCGACCCCTTGGGTGCGGGCCCGTCTCGCCCAAGGTCGCGGGCTCTGTCTCGCCCGACCTCGAGGACGCGGGTTTCGTCTCGTCCGATGGGGACCCATACCGTCGCCAACCATTCTAGGTCCAAGCGTATGGGCCTGGGTCAAAATTCTGACACCAGGGAAGAGGCTGGCATGCCTCGATGTAACCCGTGGCCATGACGGGCCATACCTAGGGATTCACATCAAGAACAGTGTCGGACGTGCCGGTGCTGTTCTGCCTAATCCTCGTACAGACGCTGACAGGCGTGTCAGTTCACCACGACATCCACCGGGACGGAGTGGAACGCCATGACCGGCAGATGATGCCTGCGCATGGTGCCAGTGACGAATAGGGCCACGACATGGAGCCATCCCTGTTGACATCTATAGGATCGGTGGGACCCGCATGAAGGAGAAGAAGGACCTGGCAACCCTGGAAGTCTTCTTCTCTCTCTCTCTCTCTCTCTCTCTCGTTCTTCTCCTTATCCTCCTCTGTAACCCGCGCTTTCCCTTCGCCTATAAAAGGGGAAGCAGGGTGCCCCTACGGGGGGGGGCAGAAGAGCAGGACACGAGCACACGACTGAGTGGTAAGCAAGTTCTCAGCACCCGTTCACTCCTTCCATCAGAGACTTGAGATCCTCTCCCTCTCTCGTCTGTTTGTAACCCCTACTACAAACCAAGTGCCGATAACACGAGCAACAACGAACTGGACGTAGGGACATTCTGCCCGAACCAGTATAAACCCTTGTATCCTTCGAGCACACCATCCGAGCCAGACACGCAAATACAAATTTACTTATCGGTGGTCCAAAAACACCGATAGTTGGAGCGCCAGGTAGGGGCTTTTTGCACATCTCGACGTCCACATCAGGCCTCGGATAGCTAGTCACGGTGTCAGCTGGGTCCCTGGTGCGCACGTGCGCTTTGGGAACCTGTACTTCATCGTTATGATAGAGGGAGAGTTGGCGTAGGTTCCTGTTGTCGTCCAACCTCTCCACTCTGCCGGCCTCGATGCGATCGCCGAGGCGCTCGAGGAGCTACAGCTGCACGCACTGGAGGCTCGCGCCCCCAGGAGCGACCAGCTCCTCGGCTTTGATTACGGGAGGCTAAAGCGCTAGCTCGACGCCTTCCTAGGACCCCGATCATCCCGGGAGGACCTGTGCAGCCTCACCTTCTCATTCGCCAACCTCATGATGCAGCTTGCCGGAGGAGAGCCGCTCTCCCTGGAATACCTCATCCAGAGCGGTGAGAGGGTGGAAGCTAGTCGTGGCTACCACCCTCATCAAGGTAGACGCTACAACAACGACGAGGACCGAAGCCCGAGCCCCGACTTGCTGGGACCTTAGGCCTTTGGCCGACACATCCTCAACGCCATCTTCCCACAGCGGTACTAACCGCTGACCAACATCCCAAAATACTCCAGGAAAACAAACCCTGGACTGTGGCTCGAGGATCATCAGCTTGCTTGCCAAGCTGATGGAGCGGATAGTGACAGTTTCATTATCCGCAACCTTTCATTGTTCCTGGCCGATTCGATGCGAACATGGTTAGAACACCTTCCGCCCAATAGAATCCAAAGTTGGGCAGACCTAAAAGAGATCTTCGTGGGAAACTTCCAGGGCACATACGCACGTCCTAGGAACCCATGGGATCTAAAAAACTGCCGACAGAAGTCTGGGGAAACTCTTCATGGGTACATCCGGCGCTTCTCCCGGCAGTGCAACGAGCTGCCCGACGTTGCCGACGCCGACGTCATAGGAGCTTTCCTGTCTGGGACCACCTGTGAGTCCCTAGTTCACAAGCTAGGACGTAAGGGCCTGCGAACCACCAAGGAGCTCCTCGACATCGCCACCAGCCACGCCTCGGGCGAGGAGTCGATCGGGGCGATTTTTGACCGCCCTAAGGGCAAGGCAAAGCGGGACGAGGACACTGGCGAAGGCGCCTCCAACCGCCCCAACAAGAAGAAGAACAAGCAGCGACGTGAGGGCTCGCTCATGGCCACTGCCGACCACAAGGGGGGTCGGAAGCCCGCCAAGGGTACCCTGGACCACTTCGAGAAGCTGCTCAAAGGGGCATGCCCAAACCTTGCTTTCCCCATCAAGCACCTATACAAGGACTACGTCCTTATGAAGCGGTTTTTGTCCAAAGGCTCCAACAAGGGGGAGCATAGGAAGGAGCCCAAGCCGACCACAGACAACGCCAAGGGAAAGGACGACGGATTTCTAACGCTGGATGGCTGCCTCATGATCTTCGGAGGGTCGGTGTCCTACGACTCCAACTGCCACCAGAAGCTTGCACTCCACGAGGTATATACGACCAAGCCAGCCACTCCTTCCTTCCTCCGATGGTCGGAGTCCGCCATAACCTTTGATCGGACCGACCACCCGAAAAGCGTCCCGCAACCGAGAAGATACCCGCTCGTGGTCGACTCGATCATCGGAAGCAGCTCACGAAGGTACTGATGGATGAAGGCAGCCGCCTCAACATCATGTACGCAGAAATGCTCTACACCATGGGCATCAACCGATCACGCATTCGGCTGACCGGGGCGCCTTTCCATGGCATCATGCCTGGAAAGTAGGCCGTGCCACTTGGGCAAATCGATCTGCTCGTCACCTTCGGGAATCCGACCAATTATAGGACGGAGACCCTTACCTTCGAGGTGGTCGGGTTCCACGGGACCTACCACGCCATCCTAGGACGTCCATGCTACGTGAAGTTCTTGGCCGTCCCCAACTACACCTGTCTAAAGTTGAAGATGACAGGTCCATGCGGGGTCATCACCATCGGCACCTCCTTCTAGCGTGCCTATGAGTGTGAGGTCGAGTGCTGCGAACATGCCGCGACAATTGTCACGTCCAAAGAGCTTGCGGCCATCAAGGATGAGGTCATCGAAGAAGCGCCCGAACCCAAGCGGTTGGCTGAGTCTTTCAAGGCTGTAGAGGGCGCCAAGGAGGTCCTCATAGACCCTAGTGGCTCCGAGGGCAAAGTGGTGTGCATTGGCACCACGCTTTCCTCCAAATAGGAAAACGCGCTCACCGACTTCCTCTGCGCCAACAGAGACATCTTTGTGTGGAGCCCCTCGAACATGCCAGGCATTCCGAGAGAAGTTGCCGAGCATGCCTTGAAGATCAGGCCAGGCTCCAAGCTAGTGAAGCAGCGTCTGCGTCACTTCGACGAGGAGAAACGCAGGGCCATCGTCGAGGAGATTGCGAAGCTTTTGGTGGTCGGGTTCATCAAGGAAGTATACCACCCCGAGTGGTTAGCCAATCCCGT